ATTTCGGCATATTATGGGGGGGTACAGATTTTGACGGTTTCATATAAGTCCCTTGTCCCCCACTCCCCCCCACAGAGCTGAGTTTTGCCCCAGCATGACCATCCCCTCAGATGGTGCCACATGTCCACTCATTATGGTGAGGTGGGATATAGGTCCCCCCGCTCTCACTCTCCCCCCTCACCCAATACTACCTACTTACCTTAGATAACCTATGTGTGCGCACCTCTAGGTGCTATAAGTTAATAGCGCAGTTTGCTGGGTGAATATATGTGACTCCGCTATGTTTATATCTCCATTCTTTGGGAATACTTCACGTATAGTAGTATGGGCTTTTGGAAGCTTAACCAGGAAAATACAAGTATGGTGCTATACTCAAAACCAAATATGTTTCCTTAGAGCTGACACTTATGCTCATCATTGGTATATTACAAATCTTATTTTAATCTAAATATGTTAGAATGATTTGGCCCACACTCCTACTACTTCATACCATTGCTATGACAATTGATGGCAGAGCTTGGAGCATATATACACACTGCCATGACAGGATCTATTATTTGAGCTTTGCTGCATCATGTCTCACAGGAACGATTCGAGCGAGAGTTGGGCATATAACTAATTTATGTTATGAGTTGTCCAAATTATGACATCTTATGGTGGGTAAGACATACCACAATGAAAAGCTGATAGGGATATTGAATGGAGTCTCAAATGGTTACTGTAATCACATATTTGCTAGTACATAAGCTTTAAGAACGAGTATACGCACCCTATAATTCAAGCATTTCTCAGCGCGCACAGAGAGTTAGAGAAAGCTAAAGTTTACAATAGGATAGTGCCCTATTCACAGCGTGTAGGAGTGTCTACACTCTCCTCTATCCGCATTGTCACGACCAGAGCAGTAATTAAATTTGTTTCTAGGCACAATGTTATATGGATAACAAGAAAGATACATAGAAAAATAGCAAGAAATTCGATTTATGAGATAAACCATGCTCACATATCATCGCATGCGAGAGTAGCTATCAGGGAGATGCAGCCACTCAGGGGGAGCGAGCATTCTTATATAAAGGGCAAGACAGCC